AGTTTCCATGCAAAGTCAATGGTTGACGCGCGTCAAGGCGCAGCAAAAGGTCCCACAGCGCGTTTTGAGCAGCAGGCGCAGCGCGTTCAAGCATCTGATGAAAAATTGTATTCTGAACATGAAAGTTTTTTAACTTTTGGGTTTAAGGGAAAAGTCCGGTCATCTGTGTTTTCATTTTTTCATTTATTGCACCAAAGAGAAAATGAAGACTGATTAGGAAACTGATCCTCATGTAGTTCAGCCACCTTCTTCTAATCTATGCAAACTGTTACTTTGTTAAGAGCCGTTTATATTTGTCTGACTTCATCTTGATGTTTTTTCTCACCTGTCTGTGGAGTCAGGTTCTGACCCCGTCCCGCTCAGACCTTCCACCTGAACCTCCCACTGTGATGGCATTCCTGAACGCCTCATCCAGCTTCTCTCTCTTCAGACAGTACGCTCTGGTGAGATTGTCTCAGAGTCTCTTTAATGTTTCGACCCTCTCATCTGTCTTAGTGCTCTTATTTTATTCTGCTTTCTCACAGATGTACAACCTGTCTGGGCACCTGGATCAACGGATATTTACGCTCTTTCTGCCAACCGATGACGTGATCAGGAAACACCTCAGCAAGACAAACTCGTCAGTTCTGGTGGGTTCATCATCCGGTTCTGCAAATCCTTTATACCTGAAAAATAATTTGGAGAAGAAACAAATAATAAATCCTTAAAAGATCCTTTGAGATTTAGTTACACCGAAAACCCAACAGTGGGTAGCTAAAGCTGGGCATACACTGTACGATTTTTTTTGCCCTTTTTGGGCCGATTTTTCAATCGTGCGAGAATTTTTCGATCGAGCCAACTTTTACCCTGATGGTACGTTGTGTACACTGCAAAAACCATCTAAAAATGAGAAAAAATGTCTTAAATTAAGTTTATTTACCATTAATTTGAGTAAGTAAATAAGATTTGCCAATGGAATGAGTATTTTTAGTCTTAAAATAACATAATTAAGTAATATCCACTTGTAATAAGACAATGCAATTGTGTTTTCTTATTTTAAAAGTAAATTGTCTTGTTCCATTAAAACTGATTTGTTTTGTTTCCTGCCGAAACAAAGTTTGTGAATTCAGTTAAATAATTGTCAAAATATACCTCCCATTTGTGTGTTTTTAGCTTTCTTCCTGTATGGGAAGCTTTTCAAAATTTGAAACATTAGTGCAGTGGTTTATGTTAAAATAAACCTTTGGGTTAAGTTGTTGCAAGCAGGTTTTTCTTTTGTTTCTTGTGAATTTGGTCTTAAATTTTTATTTCAAGTGTCATTAAAAAGTCTTAAAAAGTCTTGAATTTAACTTGCCTTATGCTGTAGGAACCCTGTACAGTGTTTTCACAGCTTAAAACTGATTGTTTAGTTTGGGTCACTTTTTATAAAAAAAATCTTGTTTGATTTGGAATGGAAAAAAACAAAATGAAAGATCAAAGATGTAAATATTGACCTGCGACCAGCAAACATCCTCTCTTTCCTCAAATCATCCGCTGTGTTTACCTTCTTGTCTGCTGTCCAGGACTCGGACACGTTTCTGTACCATGTGATTCCTAAAGAGGTGCTGTCACTCGACCAACTCCATGACGGCATGTTCAAAGCCACTCTGCTGGGCGAGGACTACGAGGTCCAGTTCCACCTAACAGCAGACAACCAGGTACTGGAAACAGGTTGTGGTGCCTGTTGTATCTTGAAGGCCTTGATGCTCAATTACGATTTTTTTGTGAAATACGATTTTTTTTGCGTTGCTGTTCACATTTCCAAATATATGCGACATGTATGTGATCTCCTGTGTGAACTGCATTCATACAACTTAAGTGTCCCGCATGCACAGTAGAGGATGCAGTGACATCACAAGCTGTCGTGCTCTGTGTTTACAGAACTAAACATGGATGGGAGCCCTGGAGCGCATCTAGCGATCTTTCCCAACCTTAAAAACACAATCTTTTCAATATGGTTAAACATAAATACTGCTGCCCGCATCATCATCCGCCATGGTTGTTGTTTTTCTTGCTTCTTCTCCGTAGCAGGATGCATATTAGTGACCTATGTCGGGTATTATTGTCGTTTAGGTCAGATGAACAAGGATTTAAAAAGATCAGATTCGTATCGGATTCAGGGCCACATAAGTCAAGTAGCCTGGGTTGGATTGGAAAAAAATCGGTTCTTTGTTGTCCAGACTGTCATAAAAAGATCAGATCCAGGTCGCATATGGGCAAAAAAAACCCGGATTTGGGTCACTTCAAGCTGCAGTGTGAACCTGAAGCTCCTTCCTGCCTGCAAGGTGTGAGTCGATAAGAATAACTCGAGTTAATGTCTGGTAACAGATCCCGATTTTCCTCTGGTTTGGAACCTGTATAAAATGGATTCAGTGAAGAAAAAGTATTTATTATTCTGATTGGTTCAGAATCCTACATATTCAGGAACGGCGCTTCCCAGCTGCTGGATCCCAGAGGATCACACTTTCCATTTTCTAAAGATTCAGCTGATGATTCTCAGACCTCTTATCACGATGGGTTTGAATGCTCCTCTGTGAGAAGATCCCACTGGGAGTTATACGTTTTGTTTATTGGACTTCATGCTCCACGAGGAGCTGCAGAGGATGACTGGGGGCACCTGCTCTCTAACTGCTACTCTGTGACGCCGTTGTTAGGTTTATTCTTTATACATCATGTGCATTGTTATTCTGTCAGTCAGATTAGACAGAGTAGAAGACCTTCCTTCACATTGTGGATGTCACTGTGTGTACGGAGGGCATCTAATCAGGACAGCCTTCGTGTCTTTAGGAGTACACAGGATATGGGCACATCTCGGAGCCGGTCTGATAGAGGAGAGCTATCTGTAACCCTGAAGCATAGAAGCAATCTGCATGAAGTTCGAGACATGGATGGCGTGTCAGTTTCTGATACGGACAGCTAAGCATCCACCTGATGCAACACATAGACTCATGAGCTATAAGAAGCAGGAGATGACCTTGTTTGGGGCTCAATCTTTGCCGGACGCTCTCGGACGTGATTTTTGAGCCCACAGCTGTGCAAGCTCCAAGCATTTTCTCTGTCCTGTTACAACCTGATCTGGAATAAACTCTGTTATTTTTTACTCCTGTTTTATAGTCCTTTTTATATGGTTTTACCCAGTTTAACTTGCTCCCAGGAAAAGAACCTTGAGGAAGCCCCTGAGGCGCAACGGCTTTTTTAGGGGTCATAACTTCCTCATTTTAACACCGTCCAGTACCAGGGATGTTCATAAAACCTTCAGTTTCAGGGAGATTTGAAAAAAAGTATTTATGCATTTTTATGTATAGCCTGATTATGAAGAGGAAATAAAAGCATTTAGGATTAGCTTTTTTTAAATGGAGACGTTTAAGGAGTGTGAATACATTTGCAATTCTCTGTATGACGTTGACGTTGAACACATGTTCCCTTTCTTGTTTCAAAGCTCCTTTAGAGATTTTGCAGATCTTCCTCTAACAAGCTGACTCGTTTCCTTTCCTCCTCATGCAGACTGCTGTAAACGACGTTCATCTTAACGGCAGCATCATTGACACGCAGTACGGCATCATTCACGTCCTCCCACAGGTCCTTAGAGTCAGACGCAACAGGTGCAGCAGACAGGTCAAAACCCAGATCAAAGTAAGTATGGAAGCTGGAGCCATTAGTGATGAAAGGCGAAAGGACCGTTGTTGACGTGAATACAAGAAGGTTTGACAGTTGTTCTTTAACAGCTTGTTGGGTTCAAAAAATGTAGGTTTGTAAAAGAAGAACTGAAATACACAGTAAGGGATTTTCAAACAACAGCTCCTGCAGGAGTGGAAAAAAAAGCCCAACCCAACTTCCAGCTTTTTTCCTCCAACTCCCCTCCTGCATCCGTCTTTTATTAACAGAACATAACACATGCTTACAAAACAGTATTTGTTCTGTCAGAACAATTGATCAGTTCATAAAGACAGGATGCCCCACCAGAATCACAAGGCAGGATGGTCTCCTGACTGAGTCACAAGACAGAGTGGAGCATCCTCTTGCTCAAATGTTTCATAAGCACACATACATTACTTTATAATCATCATTGAATAAACCTAACACAGCTGCTTTGGTAGAGCAGTAACACAGTAAAAAGGAGAAAATTTGCAGCAAATCAATATTGTAAATGTTTTGATCTTAAAGCTTAAAATAATCCTAGTCTGTCTGTACCTGTTTTTCCAGGGAAGGTGTACAGACTGCGAAGGACCTCCTCTGTGCTACTACGTGTATAAGCCAGTAAGTGTGATACAGTCCAGCAGGAGAGCTGTTTTGGTTCATTCAGCCTGAGCTCAGTAGGTGCGGTATGATAATCTGATCACTGATGGATCACTGTGTGGCAAGATCAACAGAACTGGATTATGTGGTGTTACCCCCGTATCATGAAACTACAGCATATAATCTCAGAGAGCTAATCTGTCAACCTCAGATTATCACCAAAAGTCTTTTTAAAAGCAGAAGTTAGCAGAATAAAAAGCATCTTTTCACTTTAAAATAAGCTTTGCTTGTTGGAAATATGCCTTCAACCTTATTTTTAACCATAGTTACTCTGTCTCAACTATTAATTCTGGTTTCTGCTTCAGATCAAGGAGCGGTTTCCTGCTAACATGAGGTCCAACTGTTTTTACCGGAAGCGGGTCGGGGGCCGGAGGAAATCTGTACCAGGCTGCCTCATCAATTGTCTTCGTGTCACGAAGGTGAGCTGACAGTAATACTGCCAGAGTACGGTTACCCTCTGTGCTGCTCCGTCTGCTTCTGTTCTGCATCCAACAACGGCTACAACTCTAGATTTGAAAGCTCTAGATTAGATCAACCGTGGATCTGGCATGAAGTAGTGAGTTGTGTCTGTTGCATAAAATCAAGAGTTTACTGACCACCGTGTTCAGTCTTTTGTAAACTGGTTGTTTTATCATGTATTTTGTCATTTCTAGGCAAAAAGAGACAACTAAATAAGGGATTAAAATTTTTACCAATTACTCAGAAACAACATCTGCTTCGTTCACAGCTATATAATCTTCCAACCTACTGGATCAGTAAAGGCTGTTAGACATTGCTTTACATTTCAGTGTTTATTTTTCAGTTTTCTGAGTTCCAGAACAGCCTTTAAGGATTCGATGGCATCTGCAATTTAGTTTGACTCTTATTAAGTACAAAAGTGGAAAAGCCGTGGCACAAAGATGCTCCCAGGGAGCCGGGACCAGTTTGGCCCAGCTCAGGGCCTTCTACATTGCATGTTTTTGGAAGAATTTTGGTCTGGAAGTGCTTACATCCAGTGACTGGTTCCCAGGGGCGTTCCCCCAATCTGGTCTTTCCCCTAGTTCCTCTGGAGGTTGTGAACAGACTGTTCAATACCATATAAGGGTCATAGATGTTCAAAATGTTTCTAAGTAATATTTTTTAAACCAATTTTAAAGTCGTAGGGAAGCGGCTGTTCCAAACGTTGCGTTTCCAAATTCTCCCGATTGGTGCCCGACTTTACACAAGTGAATAAAGTGAATGTGATTGGTCGTTTATAAAAGGGGCCGGATTGTTGTGGCTGAAGGTTCGTAAGCAGGTTTGGTTGTGGCCGATTTGGCGGAAGCATCTTGCTAATCAGTTAGCAACTTAGTGCTAGTAGGTTCCCAATGGGAAATTCCATTGGGACCAAGTAGCACTAAATTGGTGACTTAGAAACGACACTGTCAAGGAACGCTATGGACAGAGGAAACATGCAAGAGGAGGAGAGTTTAGTGTCGGAGGTCATGGATGAGTCTCCTCCGTCTCCTTTCAATGGAGCGCTCACAGGGCTCAGAGTATTACGTTTAAAGTTCTCTTTTCTGTTGCTGTTGGTTAATAAAAAAATTTTTTAAGAGTTTGAGATGAGAACATTATACTTTTAAGCGTCACTATATGGCCCATTAACTTTTTTTAAAAAGGGCCGCGACAACCAGCGGAGCTCCGAGGCTAACGGCAGCCAGGGCTAACGTTAGGCCGTCTGCAGCAGCCTTCTCTCTGCATAGCCGGGTGTGAAGGACCGCTGGCTATGATACCGATATTTTTGTTTTATTTGGCAAAATGTTCATTTGATTTTTTTTTATCTGACTGTGTTAATTATTATTCCCCGACTAGACGAAAAAAGTCAGAATTAAATATCATTGAGAGACTATTAATAACAGGAGGTGAAATGCTGCTCCAGACGAACTGAGCTTGTGATGATGTCATCAGTACGCCTCTGTTCCAATTGACCCATAAGTTCAGACTTTTCTTTGTTCTTCTGAAGAAAATACTTGGCGAGGACACGAGTCCGTATGTTCTTGTGAATTGAGAAACGGCCAACAACTTGCTCTCCAACTACACACCTGTAATGGTCACCACTGCTCTGCGAAAATTCTGATTTCAACTGTTGCGTATACTAGCTGCTACGTATGAATTAACATGCAATGACCAAAAAAATTTAATTGAGAGATGGCTGTTGATATATAATTGGCTGAATTTAAGTGTTCAGGCTGACGTATAATTAGCTGGCTGAAAAAAACCCCCCCACAGATTTTAAGAGTGGATTTTTTTTTTTTTTAAATCGACGACTTTAATCAAACGCTGACTTTAAGACTGAAATATAAACATCAAAGAAATAAATTCATATTGCAAAAAGAAAACAACAAAAACATTGAATCTTTCTATTTCTGTCCCACAGGAGCACAAGTGTTGTCCTGGTTTCTACGGCCACGAGTGCTTCAAATGCCCCGGAGCAGATGGCAGCCCATGCTCCAATCATGGGCAATGCCAGGACGGTATCCAAGGCAACGGGGAGTGCCGTTGCTATGAGGGTTTCCATGGCACCGCCTGTGAGGATTGCGAGCCGGGACGCTATGGAGTCAACTGCACCTCCAGTGAGCGTCACACACACTCGTTCTCATCTTCCTATCTGTAGTGAGGACATTGTGTCGACCCCACATTGACTTTTATTGTTTTTAAAAGTCATTTTTTTTACCCTTTCTCTGCACCTAAATCTAAGATAAACTCAATTCATGCCTTCTTCCTAACTGTGCTAACTGTCCTCACTTTGGTACAAATACTCAGTTTGATGTTAAAAACATAAAAAAACAGGAGCACACATGTTGTGTTTTGCCATTCTTATGGGGACTTTGCATTTACTTTCATTAATTTCCTCTGTATTATTATAGCTCCACACAGACCCTACCCTTTACCAATGTATACTTAACCGTAACTCACTTCGCACCTTAGTCCCAAACCTATCCCCCATAGCATATATTTGGAAAAGTAAACACAAACAGAACAACACAGCTGTGCCTTTGTGCTGCCAACAGAGGGAGACACCCCGAGGGTTTGGCTAAACGCAGAAGTAATGTTTGGTTGCAAAATGCCCTTTGGCACGGTTACTCAGTATGTCAGGCTGTTTAAAAAAGGACTGGACTGAATCAGCCATGTTCTTCTAAGAGACAAATATGCAAGGTGAAACTGGAATAAATGCAATTTAAATGTCATATTTAATTATCCTAATTAGCGGCGTAAAGTGGTAGTTCATCCTGAGCTGTGAGGTACCCGCGTATTACTCCTGAAGGCTGATTTATACTTCGAAACCAGGTTGTCTGAGACGTCCCCGCCCCTTCCGCAGACACTCTGCTGCACCTCTCCAAAATTGTAGGCGATTGCAGACAGTGCCGTAGATAGGAGTCCTCTGATTGGTCAAACCTACATCCGCTCTACACTATGCGTATTTCCTGTTTGGTACCTTACCGGCTTGTTTTGTTTGTATGACCACCATTGTGGAAAACGACTGGTGAAGATGGAGCAGCTAGAAGAGCAAGGTGCGCGAGAACGCTGGGACCCTTTTCGCACCTGGATCCCTGCTTTTTCGCCCTCATGTCCCTCCGTTGTCGGACAGACTTGCCCCCACTTCCTCACCGCCTCGGCCGTATCTAGACCCACAGCTAGTTCCTGATTGGCCCTCTTGCATTGTGGTGTGGAATAACATAGCGCAGACCACGCTTCAGTATTGAGCATGAATCAAAAATATCTACTACAAACTGCTGCGGGAGGATAACCAACCCTTAACACCACTCACAGGTTTCCAAGAAGATTAATCTTCTGCTCGAAAAGAAATGTTCTACCTTGATCATGTCAAAAGATTGGCCCTTTCTGTTTTGATTAAACCACAGTACAGTATTCTGCTTTGCCAATGGTCAGAACAATTAAATGCATAATGTATAATGGCAGCCTGTCACGGTTTGTTTGGAGGTTTTTATGAGGACCCAAGTGCAGAGATGAGCTCTTAAAAGGTTTAATTAAAGATCAGGCAGCAAAAACAGGAATCCAAAAATCCTACATAAAAAAATCAGACACAAACCAGAACCATGGAGACATCAGGGGAAAACCATCAAGGAGCCAGGGTGAGAAAAGGTAAGACGAGGAACCAGCCAAGAGGGACTGCAGAGGGAGTGTATTTATGGCTGACTGAAAAAAAGGTAGGACTAATGAGCTGATAAGGAGCAGGTGTGACAAGAGCTGATGAGGAAGCCAAGGGAAAATAAAACACAAGGGGACAACAGAGGACAGGCAGAAAAACCTAAGCAACTTAAATGAATCCAGACACCAATAAAGCTAGAAAACAAGGAAAAACCTGGATGAACTTGAAACTGAAAACTTAGAGGAAAACCAACAGAACCAAGATCATTACACGGCCCACAGCACTTGTATTTGACTCAGCAAGCTAGCAGGAGACTGGCTTCCATAAAGAAACCAGTCTCCTGCTAGAAAGGTGCATAAAGAGGTTCATATTATGCAAAGGATGATTAGATTCAGTGTCTCTCTTACTGTCTGACTTATGAAATCGGCACCAAGTTGCTGCAAAGCTTTGCCCAAAATAGACTAGGTGTATACGTTAGCTCAAGCCACCAAAATTTATCAAACCACTTAAAATTAGAACTAAACAGAAGGGAGTTCATTCAACGCCATTCTAGCTAAATGATCATAAATTAAATAAGTAAATAATTTTAAAACATATTTTAGAGTTTAATAACAGGGATTAGGGATCAATACCTGTTTGGCCTGTTGGAAAAATAACGTGTTATGTTGATTAGCTCTGAGCTGGCAGACATAAGATGGGGAAAAATCACATATCAGTATTTGACCGTCCTGGTTAGTGGTGTTTTGCAAGTTTACCAGCAGATTATGAAAATACTATTAAATAACTAGAGCCAGAGAGTTTTGTTATTTAAGAGGTCATTCAATTCAAGGGTAAAACCAGTTAATGATCATTAGTTAAATGATTAAACCAGGGTGTCAAGGTTGGACTTCCATATCGACTGTTAGAATCAGGTTGGCTTTGACTAATTTAGTCATTTAAATCATGGTTATCAACAGAGTTATTAATCACCAACTAAAAGACATTGTCTCTGTCTCCTCCTGTCTCTGTCCTCCACCAAAAGCGCTGGATCTGTCTCTGAATGAATAAATCTTTCACTGTATAAATAACTATAGATGACCAGGGGTTAAAAATATCAAATGGCGGTTAATAGCTTTGAAACCCGTCTGCCTGGCTGTGTGTTTCCTGGATGGGGCCGCCTTTTACAGCTGCTTTTTGTATCTCTGCTTCTGTCTCCTTGAACCCCAGTCGGCCTCAGCAGATGGCCGCTCACACTGAGCCTGGTTCTCCCTGGAGGTTTCTTCCTGTTAAAAGGGAGT